ACCTTTGGAGACAGAAGACCCTACGTAAACATGTATCTATAAACTTTTTATTCATGGAACAAAAAAAATGGTTGCATCTTTAACACAAAGTGGAAACTGTCACAGTTGCTCTTTGCTGATGACACTGTGCTTTTGGGAGATTTTGAACAGAAGTTGCAGAGGCTGGTGGATGAATTTGGTAGAGTATGTAAAAGAAGGAAATTGAAAGTCAATATGGGAAAGAGTAAGGTGATGAGGATAACTAAACAATCAGGCAACGAAAGATTGGATATCAGGTTGGAGGGAGAGAGTATGGAGGAGGTGAATGTTTTCAGAAGTTTAGGAGTGGACGTGTCAACAGATGGGTCTGTGAAAGATGAAGTGAATCATAGAACTGACGAGGGAAAAAAAGGTGAGTGGTGCATTGAGGAGTCTATGGAGACAAAGAACTTTGTCCATGGAAGCAAAGAGGGGAATGTATGAGACTATAGTTATACCAACGATCTTATATGGGTATGAAGCATTGGTGGCGAATGTTGCAACAAGGAGAAGGCTGAGGAGGGGTTGTTGAGGTGGTTCAGACATGTAGAGAAGATGGAACAAAATAGAATGGCTTCGAGAGTGTATAAATCTGTAGTGGAGGGAAGGCGGGCTAGAGGTCGGCCTAGAAAAGGTTGGAGAGAAGGGGTAAAGGAGGTTTTGTGTGTGAGGCGCTTGGACTTTCAGCAAGCATGCTTGAGCGTATTAGATAGGCGTGACTGGAGACAAATGTTTTTTTTTTTGGGACTTGACGTGCTGTTGGAGTGTAAGCAAGGTAACATTTATGAAGGGAGTCAGGGAAACCAGCAGACTGGACTTGATTCCTGGAGATGGGAAGTACAGTGTCTGCACTCTGAAGGAGAGGTGATAACGTTTCAATTAGGATAAACCTAAGCATTCTCTAGTTATGTGAAAATCAATTCAAGAAAATCGACAATTTAAAAATGACTTAAAGTAAATGCCAAGATATCTTTTAATAACTCTCATCAATACGACTTTTTGATTTAAATTGAAAGGAATTCTCCAAAATTTTCTTCGTCCAACTATTCCAAGTTGATTTCAACAACTTCAAAAAAAACCCCCAAATTTTCCCACCAAAAGTCAAAGTTTGGAGCGCCCTTCTTCGCATGAAATAATCACTGTTAACATTATGAAGCCGATAAAACGAGGCCTTCTAGAGTTACTGAATGAAAATCATTATCGCACTTTAATTAAATTAACAAACTGGGACATGTGTTTTCCAATAACAAGGGACAAATTGGGACATATGTATTCCAATAACAAAGGACAAATTGGGACATATGTACTCCAGTAACAAGGGGGCAAAATTGGGGCATGTGCATTCCAATATCAGGGGCCAAATTGGGACATATGTATTCCAGTAACAAGGGACAAATTGGGACATGTGCATTCCAATATCAGGGGCCAAATTGGGACATATGTATTCCAGTAACAAGGGACAAATTGAGACATGTGTATTACAATAACAAGGGACAAATTGGGACATGTGTATTACAATAACAAGGTGAACAATGCTGTCTGGAAGACACACCAGTTGTAAAGTCTGAGGCGCCTTAGAACATGGCGCGAATTGTTACTGGATTTTATAATTGCCTGTTAATTATATATTCAACTTACAGCTGTGGATGCCGGTATGTTGTGTCAGCAGTGCTATTGTACCAGCAGTGCTGCTGTGCCAGCAGTGCTGCTGTTCGTGCAGTGGTTGTGCGCAGTTGTGTCAGCCAGCTGTTGTGCCAGCAGTGTGTTGTGCCGGCAGTGGTGCTGTGTCAGCAGTGTTGCTGTGTCAGCAGTGTTGTTGTGCCGGCAGTGGTGTTGTGCCAGCAGTGTTGCTGTGTCAGCAGTGCTGTTGTGCCAGCAGTGGTGCTGTGCCAGCAGTGGTGCTGTGCCAGCAGTGCAGCTGTGCCAGCAGTGTTGCTGTGTCAGCAGTGGTGCTGTGCCAGCAGTGCTGCTGTACCAACAGCGCTACTGTGCCAGAGGTGCTGCTGTGCAGCATGTGCTGCTGTGCCAGCAGTGCTGCTGTACCAACAGTGCTACTGTGCCAGCAGTGCTGCTGAGTCAGCAATGCTGCTGTGCAGCAGTGCTACTGTACCAACAGTGCTACTGTGTCAACAGTGCTGCTGTGCCAACAGTGCTGCTGTGCCAACAGTGCTGTTGCTACCTTACTAAAATAATATAAATACAGTGAACATTTTTACGTATTTTTTGAGAATTTAAAAAAAATATAAATACTCAACTACAAGGGAAAAGTTTTTGCATCGTATTTTGAAATCTGATAAAATTTTATATTGATTTACACAGTATTTTTAACATCTTGCTTTTATTCTTGTTATGACAGTTACCTGTTAAAAGTGTGTTACACTATGTAACACAGTGTTACAATATGTAACATAGTGTTACAATATGTAACATTGTGTAACACTATGTAACACAGTGTTACAATATGTAACATAGTGTTACAATATGTAACATAGTGTTACAATATGTAACATAATGCTACACTGTGTAACGTAGTGTTACACTATGTAACACAGTGTTACAATATGTAACATAGTGTTACAATATGTAACATTGTGTAACACTATGTAAACACAGTGTTACAATAGTAACATAGTGTTACAATATGTAACATAGTGTTACAATATGTAACATAATGCTACACTGTGTAACGTATGTTACACTATGAACACAGTGTTACAATATGTAACATAGTGTTACAATATGTAACATTGTGTAACACTATGTAACACAGTGTTACAATATGTAACATAGTGTTACAATATGTAACATAGTGTTACAATATGTAACATAATGCTACACTGTGTAACGTAGTGTTACACTATGTAACACAGTGTTACAATATGTAACATAGTGTTACAATATGTAACATTGTGTAACACTATTGTAACACAGTGTTAAAAATATGTAACATAGTGTTACAATATGTAACATAGTGTTACAATATGTAACAAAATTGCTCCCACTGTGTAACGTAGTGTTACACTATGTAACACAGTGTTACAATATGTAACATAGTGTTACAATATGTAACATTGTGTAACACTATGTAACACAGTGTTACAATATGTAACATAGTGTTACAATATGTAACATAGTGTTACAATATGTAACAAATGCTACACTGGTAACGTAGTGTTACACTATGTTAACACAGTTGTTACAATATGTAACATAGTGTTACAATATGTAACATTGTGTAACACTATGTAACACAGTGTTACAATATGTAACATAGTGTTACAATATGTAATCATAGTGTTACAATATGTAACATATGTTACAATATGTAACATAATTCTACACTGTGTAACGTAGTGTTACACTATGTAACACAGTGTTACAATATGTAACATAGTGTTACAATATGTAACATAGTGTTATAATATGTAACATTGTGTAACACTATGTAACATAATGCTACACTGTGTAACATAGTGTTACAATATGTAACATTGTGTAACACTATGTAACATAATGCTACACTGTGTAACATAGTGTTACACTATGTTACACTATGTAACATAGTGTTACACTATGTAACATAGTGTTACACTATGTAACATAGTGTTACACTATGTAACATAGTGTTACACTATGTAACATAATGCTACACTGTGTAACATAGTGTTACACTATGTTACACTATGTAACATAGTGTTACACTATGTAACATAATCACATGCACAGTGGAACGTTTTTTTGTGCAAATTGGTTTATAACATATTTTCCATGTTAGTCTTTCTTGATTTGTAGCTCCTGGTCCTCTTAAGGGTGTTGATCTAAATCTCCCGGACCTTCTGTATGTCTTAAGCAATATCTGCCATTACTCTTGACTGCGACGAGCTAAAACTCCTCGTCTCCGTCGATGGTGTTGAAGCCTACTACATGGTCTTGAAGAGTTTAGCTGACTCTCCTCTGCCTCTTGAAGGTCTGAGGGGTCGAGTACAGTGTCTCTTGCGTGCACCGAACTACAAGATGCTGCAGTAATGAGTCTTGGGCGTTATTCCCGCATCACACAGTGAAGGCAATACATTTGGTTCTCTGAAAGTAGGACATAATCTTGCCTGATATCCAACGCTAGGAGTCACTGCTGGGGCACTATTATCTCGAAAATAATAAATATTTTTTTCTTAAAAGATTGCAAAGCATTAAAAATAGGAATATAACTTCGAAAAGACGAATTAAAAATAATAAACTAACCCTTTTATGTGGCACTGAGTTCTGACAATATTTTTTATTTCTGTTGTGCAGCAAAAAATCGAGCCATGTACAGATCCTGTATGTGTTGGTGGGGTTAAATAATAGCTCCAGAGGTACAAGAGGTACAGGGTGTTGAGCGTACATGATACCGAGGATATCTCTTTCAAATCGCTCAGCGTCTGAACAAATCCAGCATTAAATGTTTTCATGTTATATCAGAACTAAAAAAATATGTAATATCCCATTTTTTATGCTCAGCAATTTCCAGATGGTATTATGTATCTCTAGATATCATAAGGATTATTAAATGTTACCTGGTGTTTTCGTGTGTTGTCAAGCAGCAGGTATATCTTAAGGGGCATGTCACTTCCCCTGTCTTCTAATATGTTATTTCTCCTCTATAAAGTATCCTGTTCATAATTACTATCGCCTTTGCTTAATCTGTTTCGTAAGGTGAAGTCCAGGATCTTTCCTTAATTCATGGTATAACTTAACAAATCTCTGAGGCTAATTGTGTTGAAGAGGTCAGCAACACGATTGTATTCAAAGATTTGTTAAGTTATACCATGAATTAAGGGAAGATCCCAGACTTCACCTTACGAAAGTAATCAGAGTAAATGCGATAGAAATTATGGACAAGGTAGATTATAGTGGAAAAATAAACATATTAGAAGTCAGGGAAACTCACGCACCATGTAAGGCTAAGGCGTGTCTAAGAATTACAAGCTTATGTGTATTTACAGAAACGGTGCCGGTACTGCTGCTGGTGGGTGGTGTGGTGGCACTGGTGGTCGTGGCTGTGGTTGTAGCATCCCTCGTACTCTGCAACAAGCGGCACTCCACAATTAAAGGTAAGAGAGAGAATGAGAACAGATAAAATATTACCTAGTGCTACTGGCTCTCAGGATGCCTGGAGTATACTTGGAGAGGGTGTCGGGGGGTCAACGCCCCCTCAGCTCGGTCTGCTGTGACCAGGCCTCGCGAGATAGATAGCTAAATAGGAAGGTATCTCCTGCTATTGCGGCACCGCCGTACTGGGGACGTGAGGCCGAGGCTTCACTCGTCGTTACAGTTTATTGTACGAAAATCAGGCAATTCTCAGTTGCGTTCCCCTGATTGGCGTTTCTGATTGGCCCTTGGTGTGTCGAGATTAAATATATTAATTACATTTATCATAAAAGTTAAAATCAACGATATGCATACTTGAACCTGGTAGATCAAGGGGTAAATGCAATTTAGCAATATTGACAAATATAAACACAATATGAAATGTGCGAAGAAATACAAAATCAATCAACAGTGTGTGGAAATGAAAAAAATATTATCCCAGTGGGTAGCAACAAGCAATCACTAATATACCAGACTAGATGAAGAGAAATAAAAAAAACGTCTCATAACAGACGGTCAGACTTCCCAGTAAACTCCAGTGGCTGAGTCAACACTGGTAGTAAACATACATAAGACAGGTAACACTGACCAGTAACAGGAACATCCAGGCACACATTAACTGGGTTAAGTAATATCACCTGTGACAGGTAACACTCACAAGTAACAGGAACATAAAAGTACACATGAACTAGGTTAAGTAACATTACCTGTGACAGGTAACACTGACCAGTAACAGGAGCATCAAGGCACACATTAACTGGGTTAAGTAACATCACCTGTGACAGGTAACACTCACAAGTAACATTAACATACAGGTACACATGAACTAGGTTAAGTAACATCACCTGTGACAGGTAACACTCACAAGTAACATTAACATACAGGTGCACATGAACTTGGTTAAGTAACATCACCTGTGACAGGTAACACTCACAAGTAACATTAACATACAGGTGCACATGAACTAGGTTAAGTAACATCACCTGTGACAGGTAACACTCACAAGTAACAGGAACATACAGGTACACGTGAACTAGGTTAAGTAACATCACCTGTGACAGGTAACACTCACAAGTAACAGGAACATACAGGTACACGTGAACTAGGTTAAGTAACATCACCGGCAACACGAGATAAAGCCTGGCAGAACAGAATGGAATAAAAAGGAACAAACAAAGGAATGTACAAGAAGAACAGCAATAAGATAGTAAATAAGAAATAAAACATAATGGAAACTTGGTACTTGGTATAAGTAAAAAATATTAGGACAGAGAAAAAGTGAATAAATTAGATGAAAACAGTTAGAAAAATGGAATGATAAGAAGAAACAATGAAGGTAAAATGCATAACCAACTTTTACAAAGAATGTTAGAGAAAGAGACAGAAATCTGTGGTACAGACGTAAGAGTTAAGAAAACTTACAAGGAGCAGTAGAAATAAAAACAAGAATGGGAATTGGGAATGAATTGAGATGGAATTCCTGCCAACCTGTTTCACCTGCATATATTAATGTTACAGCCTACTTAACATAGGTCTATAAGGAACCTAAACTGTGCTATGACATGTAAGAAAAAAAATAAATTCCTGAGTTGACAATACTATTTCGTACAATTTAAAGAGAGACCGAAAATTAAGATACTTGCAACAACTTCCAAAATACGAAAATCCCAGTGAGACAATGTTACTAAGACAGTAACACGACACAATAATTAAATTCACCACCAACCAGGAGACCTTAACATATTGTACTAAGGAGAAGAAATATATGAGGCACTTCCATCTCACTTAAAGAGTGTCAGTTTCAATTTTGAGTGACCGTCCCAGGCCTCTGCTCACACTTACTCTGGCTAGTGAGGCTGGTCAAGAGTGACGTCCCAGCCTCCTCCTGACCTGCTGAGGAGTAAGTTCACTGGTTCACTATGGCTAGTGAGGCTGGTCAAGATGACGTCCCAGGCCTTGCTCACACTTACTTGGCAGTGAGGCTGGTCAAGAATGACGTCCCAGGCCTCCTGCTCACACTTACTCTGGCTAGTGAGGCAGGTCAAGAGTGACGTCCCAGGCCTCCTGCTCACACTTACTCTGGCTAGTGAGGCTGGTCAAGAGTGACGTCCCAGGCCACTTGCTCACACTTACTCTGGCTAGTGAGGCTGGTCAAGAGTGACGTCCCAGGCCTCCTGCTCACACTTACTCTGGCTAGTGAGGCTGGTCAAGAGTGACGTCCCAGGCCTCCTGCTCACACTTTAGATAGTGAGGTAAGACAAACTTCTCAAAATTACTTCTCAGATACTCATAAAGTAATCTGAATGAAAATAAATCTTTATTTCACTAACTAACTATATCAGTTTAACTCCTTGACTTTAATGAAGTGCTTTTGAGTCTAGAATTGAAGCCTTTCCTCCACTTCCTTGGATCAAACCTGGCCACCTGGTCAGATACAAAAGGCATCATAACGGGATTCTTTAACTACATGTACTTTGCTGTAATATTCACTTACATCATGACTACACTAACAGCCACATTTAAAACAGGCGAAATTGCAGATCTTTAGAATGTGCAGAGAACCTTCAATGTTCGTATAAGTTCAGATCAGGAATCTAAATTACTGAGAACGTTAGAAGACCCTTGATCTGTACTTCATGGAATCTCAGACGAGAAATATACGTCATACTTTGCACTTAGAAAACCCTAGAGAGACTGATCCCAAACCTGCACAAGAAATCACTCCCTACGAAAGCTAAAGACTCTCCAGACGGTGCAGAATACCCCCAGTGAAAACCAGGGTTGCGTTGAGTACGTTAAGAGGAAATGCAATAAGTACTCGAGACCCAAGATTGTTCAACAGCCTCCCATTATAACAACAGTCCCTCGACTGTCTTCAAGAGGGAACTGGAGAGATAGCTAAAGTCAATTCCCGATCAGGTGGGCTGTGGCTTGTACATTGGAGTGCATGCGGCAGGCAGAAACAGCCTGGTTGGTAAGGCCCTGATCCACCGGGAGGCCTGGTATGGACAGGACCACGGGGGTGTCGACCCCCAAAATACCCTCCAGGTAGACTCCAGTATGTAAACGCTTCCCTTACTAGTTAAAATAACTGCTCACTTAACAAACACTTTCTTTACACACAAGTCTCATTACAACATATTCTTTACATCACAAAATGGCTCAACTATTGTAGCATCTATTGGAACATGGCACGTAGAAAAAGAATTCTCTTTAACAGAAGAATTACCCTATTTCTGCGTTAACTGGCAAACATTACACACGACCGTCTCAATGAAGCTAATCAATACATATTGACCTCCAAATTATACATTACCCCATTCCTTTCTCATGTCCTAAAATACTTCAGAGTTTCTGAACACTCTACCGAAGAACATAATGCATATTTGAATATATAGGATAGGTTTGGTTAAGTTAAGTTAGGTAAAGTTAGGTTAGGTTAGGTTAGGTTAGGTTAGGCTAGGTTAGGTTAGGTTAGGTTAGGTTAGGTTAAGTTAAGTTAAGTTAGGTTAGGTTAGGTTAGGTTAGGTTAGGTTAGGTTAGGTTAGGTTAGGTTAAGTTAAGTTAAGTTATGTGAAGGTTAGGGTTAGGTAGGTTAGGTTGGTTAAGTTAAGTTAAGTTAAGTTAGGTTAGTTAGGTTAGGTTAGGTTAGGTTATTAGGTTAGGTTAAGTTAAGTTAAGTTAGGTTAGGTTAGGTTAGGTTAGGTTAGGTTAGGTTAAGTTAAGTTAAGTTAGGTTAGGTTAGGTTAGGTTAGGTTAGGTTAGGTTAAGTTAAATTAGGTTAGGTTAGGTTAGGTTAGGTTAGGTTAGGTTAGGTTAAGTTAAGTTAAGTTAGGTTAGGTTAGGTTAGGTTAGGTTAGGTTAGGATAGGTTGAGTTAAGTTAAGTTAAGTTAGGTTAGGTTAGGTTAGGTTAAGTTAAGTTAAGTTAAGTTAAGTTAAGTTAGGTTTGTCAAGTGGGTTTTCGATAACGTGGATGGGTAAAAATACTCACGTAGGCTGGTAGTACGTATAATATATAACAGGAAGTATGGGAAGCGCCAACAGCCGACCTGCCTCTCTCTGCTCCCTATCTTCGACTAACTCTCAAGTGCGTACGGGTGAGGGGTGTTTGAAATCCTGCTATGGTCAGCAGCAATATGAATAATCAGTCAGTGATTCACGCAGACGGTTGGTAGTGAGTCATCTACTGGTACACTAGTTACTGGTAACTGGTTACTAGGAACTGGTACTACTACTGAGAGCTCGGCGACGCTAACGTATGTCGTCCCAACATACAACTAATACAAACTAGAGACGGCAGGTGTACGGCTTGGGCTGATTCTATACAATGTCAAAGTACACAACAATTGAACATTATAACATACATAAGTAGAATATTGGAATGGAAGCTTACGTAATTGAAACTGTAATAAAACTGTAATGCATTACAAGATATGATATAGCACAACTCATAGAATGAAACTCAACATTGGGATTACACAATAGAAGTGATAAAAAAAATTTGATCGATCGATCTATATTCATGTGATCTACGGATTCTGAGGAAGGAATATATACAAAGAAAGAAGTGTTTAACAGAAAGGCAGATTCGGTGCACTCAAATCTAGACTGTTAACTCTCAGAATTCAGAGAGAAATTGAACACAAAAAAAAAATCTTGAATACTGATAAGTTGATACTGTAATTATTCATCTATACAGGTTATTTACATTTAACCCCAACTCTGCTAGGGTGAGATTGATATATGCAGAATGGGTGTCATCTCTGGTGGATCAAACTCTGTTGCACTGGCTAACTCATGCTGTATTTGAGGCAAATCTGAATTGGTAGTTACAAATGATACTTGAGGATTTCTCAATACCTGTCGTGTACGTAGGGAATAACGACATTCAGGTTGATCGTCTGACTGAGTATCAGAGGAAGAGAGTACAGGATCAGGAGGATTGTCAGAGTCTGTCACATT